CTGTCCAGTGTCATGAGGTTCACCCGAGTGGCCATATAACTTGAAAATAAATAAAAGGTTTTTTAAAGAAAAACGTATGTAAGATTAAAACAACAAAAGCATTGCCATATTACCCAGTTGGTAAGAATGTTTCCTTATTTTAATTATATTTTATATTATTTTTTGTCTTGTTATGTGATACTTAGTCTCCTCTATTGATTATTTTTAGTAGTTACTAAATGATGTATGGGAGAAATTTCAAAGATTTCTTGTGTAATAAATGAATGAATCATTTGTTTTTAGAAGAAACAGAAGCTAGAATAGAATGACTTCCAGAAGGGGGTAGGCCACTTTATGTAGGAAAATTTATGCTTATATTTCCCTGAAACATTTTCATGTGTCATATACAATCCATCCAATGCCATATATAAAAAAGATTAAATGTATAAAATTAATTACAACATTTGCATTATTGAAAATAATGCATACTATGTGTTTCAATTTTTTTTGTCTAAAAATAATGGCATATTATCTTCTGTTAATAAAATTCCTGAACAAGTGACTTGGATATGGCTCTTCTTATAAATAATACAGACACAAATTACAAAGGTTATTCTTTATTTGATTACACCCGTTTCAATTTTCTAAATGCATTCCAGAACTTTTTAAGGACAAAACTATCTATGTGAAGTAGGCCCTACATTAACTCTTGCCTACCTTTGCAGCAATTCCATGGTGCCAATGCAAAAGGGGAAAAAAGTACCTTTACATACCAGATTCATTCTCAGCTATTTCCAGTACTGTAAGGCTAAGAGACAAACTTATGGGCATGCCAGCTGTTTATTTTTTTGTAGCTGTCAATGGCATTGGCCACCCTCAAAATGGACATATGCTACCAACAGAAAACTTTGCTTTGTAACTTACATAACAGAATATGCTTGCTCCAAATATACCTAATGTAGCCACTCTTGACTACGGTAGGTCATGCCCATTACAGAAACAATTGGAGTACTCCCTTTAGGTTCTTAGAATGTATAGATTAGGGGTGTCAAACTGGATTTCTTCGAGGGCTGGATCAGCATTGTAGTTCTCTGTGGGTTGGCTGGGGGAGGGGCATTTTTGCGGCTGGTTTTTGGCCTGGATGGCCTCCTGAAGTACTTTGCCGGCCAAAATGGGGCACAGGGAAGCACGCACTGTCCCTCACATGGCCTGTTTTGGTCAACAAAGTGCTGCAGGAGCCTGTCCAGGCTGAAAACAGGCTGTGAAAATGCATCCACCCCCGGCCAGTCCGTGGAGAACTACAGTGCTGATCCAGCCCTTGAAGAAATCCAGGAGGGATAATATAATCATTTTCTACATTACCATTCTTACACACATGTTGAATTGGGAAATGTAAATATATTTAGACTTAAAAAGTTCCCTGATTTTGAACCAATTTACATTGTCCAAATGGTTATACTTTCCACTGATAAGTTAATATATAGTATTGGAAGCATAACACAACTATTGCACCTGAATCAGAACTGCTAAAACAGGGGGAGTTTCCGGTTTGTCGGCTTCGCGAGCGGTAGGGATTCGCGAAGCTGCGCGATCCCTGCCGCGCTAGCCGTTTTGGGGCTCCGATCCGGACGGGTGCGGAGCAAGGCTGCCCTGCAGGGGTAGCTGAAGGTAAGGGGGATACGGAGGAAGGGTCTGGGGGTGTTGCAGACCCCCTCCCTGGCCGGCAGAACCCCCTTTTACCAGGACGGTGCAGCGGCGGTCCGTAATGGCCGCCACAAAGAAGTCGGCAGCCGGGCAAGTATGCGCAGGAGGAAGAAGAGAAAGTTATTAAAAGTGAAAGTTATTCTTGGTCGACCCAGGGCTTTGAGATTTATCTAATTTAATTCCTGGAAAAGATGGTTTTTTGATGATTTTTTCCACAAGAGAAAAAAAGCGGCAATTTTGAGGTGCTGAAAGGAAAGTTTACTCTCCCTCCCTTCCGAGAAAAAGGGAACACAACAGAGAAGGGATCCTAGCAAGGCAGAGGTTAGAAGAAGAAGGGGGGGGGTAGGAAGATTTGGTGGGGGAAGAAAGAAAGGGGAAAGGCGGAGAAAAGCCTCAAAGTTTTAAAATTGGATGGGAGAAGAGGAATTTTTTTTAGGGACAAAGGATGAAATATAAACTTTTGCAAGAAAGATTCTGCTAGGTACAGAAGATGGTATTGTAACATTTATATTTGAAATAGTAAATTAGAATGGTTTAAGATTTAACAAGAAATTAAAATGTTGAAGTCTTTAATAATGATTGATTTTTAAAATGTAATAAAATATTGAAGGAAAGGAGGATACAATGTATTTAAACATTTTTGGTGGATAGAATGTACCAAGCAGAACCGAATTGGGTATTTGTTATGTTGAATGTTAATTTTACTAACTTAGGGGGAGGATAGAAAGGCATCATACTCTGATTAGTGATTTCAGGAGAAATTCTTTTTATTATAAGAAGAGATAGAGGGATAATGAATGGGCAAAAGATATAAATATAATGATTTAATTAAGATGGATTAAATAAGATAGAATTGTGAAGAGTGAAATGCGCTGCCCATACAAAGAGAGGTAACTGGGGCCAAGGTACTTTACTAAAAGATTTTTTATATGTTTGTTTGTGTTTGTTTGTGTTTTATGAGAATATTGGGGAAATTTCTGTGGAAATACAGGAAAAGATTTAAATATGTAATGATTTGTTTGTTGTTGAAATTAATAAAACTTTTTTTTTTTTTTTTTAAAGAACTGCTAAAACAGCTACAGGCACTTATATAATTTTTAATTCACCAAATAGATAATATAATATTTTGAATTAGACCAAATGTTTTGATTTTATTAGGAATATTTGCATATTTTCTTTTTGCTTTTATCTTCCTTTTGAATACAAATAAAGGTACCTTTTATTGCTAGTTAAATAATGAATTTGTGTAAAAAGAGACCTGTCCTCCAAAATGTTCTGTGTGCAAAAATGCAAAATTAGTCTTCTTAGGTTCAGGTGGTTTTTTTGAAGTTTTGTATTTTCAGAGACTTCTCATACAATTCTAGGAAAAATACTAAAAACAGTTTGGATTTTCTTGCTAGAAAGCACTGATTTCTGAAGTAGGATTCATTATGATTTTCAGGCACAAATCTGTTTATAGTGCAATCTAATAATAATGAATATGAAAAGGATTTCTATTAATTGGGAATCCTCATCTCCCACATTCATAACACAAGACTACGAAAAGCAATTGCCAATGGTCTGAATAATGCTCAGATGGACTGGCATCCAGGAAACCTATTTCAGAAGTTTCTTCTGAATATATTCCCAAAGATCAGTTAGATCCTGCACAATGATTCCCATGAAGGCAGAATATAATACAATATAGTACAATGCACTATGACACACCAAGCATAATCCTTGTCCAATATTGCAAAATGGTGATATGTAAATGCCAAGAATTGATGCAAGACTGTTATCAACCACTTCAGAGAGTGCATCATGTTGGTTATCTTGAGCACTGCTTGAGAAATAATGTCCCTTAAAGCTATCTCACTATTAATGTTTATTTCTATCAGGACCAACAACCATGTCTCTTTCATTTCAAACATCTAAATTTAGCCCAATGTTTTTAGTTACAGATCCTACTATATAATCCTTTAGGACAGGGATGTCAAATTTGATTTCATTGAGGGCTGCATCAGGATTGTGTTTGACCTTGGGGAGCCAGGGTGGGCGTGGCCAGGATGGGCATGATCAGTTTGACCGTCACTTGTGTCAGGAGCGCCTGTGGCCCAAGCGCTCTGACAGTGAAAACAGGCTCCCGAGCTCCATTTTTGGCTGTGACAGCCTTCTGCAGCCCTCTGCCAGCAGAAACTGAGCTTGGGCGGCTGCATGCGGCCCTCCTGAGCTCCGTTTTTGCTGACAGAGGCACCACAGATCAGTCCTTTGCTGTTTTCAGGCCAGTCCTGCAGGCCAGATGTAAGTACCCTGCGAGCTGGATCTGGCCCACAGGGCTTGAGTTTGACACCCCTGCTTTAGGATCTTTTGCAGTAATTGCTATGCAGTTCTCATTGTCAAGTCCTTCAATGTGTTTTATACATACTTGCCTGTTGTTACCTTCTAGATCCTTCAAGTTATCTTCTTGTACTTGCATATGAATGCATTTGTCTTGCCAAGACTAACTTCAAAGGATTCTATGAACACCAGAGAACCAAGGTCTCCCTTTTTGTAACTGAGATCTTCTTCCCTTGAATCTTGAGATGAGGGGGAAACAGTACCACAACTAATACTTTCTTCGGTATCTTGTTCAACTGATATCAAATCACTTTGTCTGCAATCAGTAGAAGTTTCTGCAAAGATGGATCTCTCAGTCCGAGAGCCATGGGCAATATTAGAAATACTTTTATAAAGTTCTTGATTAAGTAACAGTACAACAGTCCCTCCAAAACAAAGCACCCTGAAAAAACAATAGAAAGTAGTTAATATATTCTTGCTTGGTTTCAATAACATTAATTTATAAGAAACTTTAGAGTATCTAATAGTTTACAATCTCCCTATTTTTATCTTTACCTTTCTATATGGTAAGATACACCAAGAGAAAGCCTCTCATTTGAACATTCTGGTAAATGGATTTTAATATTGGGCTTCATACAAATTCCAGGTTTTTTTTCATATATTCCATATTTTATTATACTTAATTGCTGCATCCATTATTATCCAGCTGAAATAAATGACAATGAGCAAGGTCTTGACTGCCAACTGCAACCCAATACAAGAATTGTTGCTGGATCTGGGCATGTAAAAACCTAAAGGGATATTTACATTAGTCTTTGCTTACTGACCACATATTCAGTAACAGGTTACCCAAGGTGCTAAAAAAAACACCTCTATGGCCAATTTACAACCATTTACAACATGCTCAGCATCCCTCAATATTGTGATTACTATTAGTCAGTACACATCATTCTGTGCCTGACCTATTTTCTTCCCCCTTTCAAAGTAGAGATTGGAGAGGAAGAGATTGCATTGGCAGCCCAGGCCTGGGAGCTGCAGGCACACTTTGCAGAGAGTTTACAGTACTCATTCCTCCTTTCCAATCTCTATGTTCTGTGGGGGAGGGGAAGAATTTCTGTAGCTAAACCTCTCTTTTGCCTGACTGTTTGCCTTTGCCCCTTGCAGAGCAGAGGTTAGAGAAGAGATTTCAGGAGAGTACTGTAAGCTTTACAGTAAGAATGAGGAAGAACTATACATCTGGAAGCTGTGCTAAACGTAAGAATAGCTTCAGGAATAAATAAATATATATACCGGTATATTTATAAATATAAATAAATACACATATACACACAAACACACAACAGTGTCCTATACTCAGGGAACTCAGGGTTACAGTCAAAGTTCCCGGGGAAAGTAACAAGCCCATTTTGAAAACATTCCCCCTCCTTCCATCTGAATTAAATTAACTTTGTCAGGAAGATTTCCTTTACTATATATTTCTCAGTATGTATCCTATGACTTCTCATTCACTGCCAGCATCAGCAGAGTCCTGTTTGACCAGACCCAGCCCTTCTGAGCTTGTTAGCAATTACCAGCAACATATTTTTTCATCTTATTTGAAACTATTATTTATGATGGATCCTTGGTGGTCTCTGAATGGTGGATCCTTGGTGGTCTCTGAATCTCTGAATTTGGTTGTTTTCTTGCAGATGTTTAATTATAATTAAACAAACTAGCTAACATCACCAGTGCTCCAATCACTGATTAGGAATTAGTGAAACATATGTAAGTAAACAACCAAACTCAGAGAGCACCAAGGACTCATTTGATTCTGAGCTACAAATATTTTCCTTTATCACTATTATTATTACTACATTAGAAGATAGGTAATTATCATCAAATAAAATTGTTTCTATCTAGTTACAATGTATATTTGCTTACATATCATATACTAAATCTCATTCTAATATTCTTGAATTTTTCTAATATTCTAATTTTCTAATATTCTTGAATAATTTGACTCATGTACCTTTCAAGTTCTTGAAAAACTCTGGGAAGGAACTTCATGTCTTCTGTTATTTTGAACTTTTTTCCAAATGGAATGTCTGTCAAAATGACATCAATGCTTTCTGATAGGAAAGGTAATCCTGCAGAGATAAAATACACTTAAAAGGCCTTGAATTAAGACAGAATTATAATTTAACAGATCCCTGGGGAATAAAATGTTTAATTGTTACTCTATTCCGCATTCCGAAGGAACTAAAAAAAATCTAATCTATTTGACCTTCTATTATTCTAGAACTCCCATTTATACATGGGGCAGAGACAGTATCTTGTATGGGACTCAATTTTTTGCCAATTCCTCCTTGTATTGAGTTTCATAGGTTTCCCCCAAATTTCTACAGGGCTACAGTGGGAATCAATAAACAGTATTTCTTCATTTTGCTGCTGGAAGTATCACATAGGCAGAACAATCAGCATTGTTAAATATTCTCAGAACAGAATAATAGAAAATATTTCTGGAACCAAGCTATCTTCTTTTCAAATTAACATCTTCACAATTAGCATTAATAACTGCTAGGCAAAATGGAGACAAACAACAATTCATAAAGTGAATTTGGGCAACACCTCATTTCCCATGTAGTGTATACTATTCCATTCCTGCCTTAGTCAAAGAGATGTTGTTAACATAAAAAAAACTTGCTTATCAAAGGCAAATATAGGATGTGCTTATATCTTGATCAGCATAATCATAACCCTCTTTAATTATCTGAAGAAACAGCAGTATCAATTTCCAACCTTAATTCCAAAGACATATATATTAAATCAAGTGCTTAAATGGCATAGAATAATTTTGGGAAAAAGAGAGTTTGTTACTTACATTCTAGTTCTACAAAGAAGACATTTGCAAGCCAATAAAAATAAAGTATATCAAATTTTATACATGGTGTAATTTTTATGTAATTTACACAAGGTACTCTTGTTAATACTTACCTGTCACAGAAGATTTAAATAGTTCAATTTTATCTATCAGGCTTGCATCTCTAATATTTGAGTAGGCTCCTTGTAACTGTGAATCACTTATATCCGATCCGAAATAATACACATTCTGTAGAGGAAACAAACAATTATATTAAGATAGAATCAAACTGATAGAAGTTAAAAAGCCTTTGATCTGCCCCTCCTCCTTTTAACAGCCTTCTGATCTGGAGTCAGAGAAACCCGTCACCACTCATAAAATACAATGTTTCCTTAAAGGCAATATATCACGGACAGGCAGGAAATCTAAGCTGGAAAAGACCCCGGAATTTAGCACCTCAGCCTGGCCAGGAAGATCTCTGCTGATAAAGAAGATAACAAACAGAATATTTTCTCTAGCCATAAAAGCTATATTTCTTGCTTTCTCGCCGTCATTTAAAACATATTTCACTCATACCAAAAGCTAAAAAATGTATAAACCTTGCTGATATGCCAGTCCGCAGAAACAAGCTTTGTACTGTTTCTGACCCAAATAAAATAGGGAAACTTCTTCCCAAGCAGCTGCTTTTTGTGAGTTGGAGAAAGGAATCCAGGGAGATTTTCACAACAAAATAACACAAATCTGCAAGGAAATAGAATCTGATGACACAGGCTGCATGAAACAAAACATTTAACTTTTGTTTGCTTTTCATAGTATCAGTGAAATCAGAGATAAGAAGGACCATAAATTGGAAATGGTCAGTCATTAATTCATTGTTTTTCTTCAAAATATCTCAAAAACTGAAAAAAATGATTAATCTGGTTCAAAATGATTATATCTGATTAAAAAAAATGACAGCATTTTACACTTAAGAAAATAATGTTAAGTTATTCATCCATGTTTATCTGTAGATAATAATATAAATATAACAGAAAGTTAAGCATAAACTACAGTATTAAACAGCTATTTTTGCTACTGCAGAATTTTGTAGTTGGAATGTTAGCTGATTTGAATATGTGGGGTCATATTCTGAATAAAATTTTAACAGCTGCCCATTCACCTCTAAGCATGACTCTAATTAATGGTTCATATCTTTATATTCAAAGTATCTTAAATCCTAAAGATCTTAAGAGTATTCCCCCCGCCATTAGCTCACCTGTGCATTAAAATAATTGGACGAGGATCTTCTCTTAGTATCTTTGTAAGAGAAGTGTAGAATGAAGGCATTCTTTGGTGACATTGCAGTTCTCAAATGTTCCCCTGAAGGGATATTTGTCTAATGCCATTATAACTATTTTAAAGATGTCAAATAAAACTGTAATTTGCTTAATTGTTTTAAATGCATAGCAGTAAAGTTATATACTGGTCCCTAGTGCTTTACAGCGATCTGATCAGTTTACAAATGTCAACATATTGTCCCCAACCATCTCAGTCCTCATTTTACCAACTTCAGAAGGATGGAAGGCTGAGTCAACCTTGATTAGTAAGGATTGAATACCTGGCTGTGAGCAGAGTTAGCCTGCAATATTGCATTCTAACCATCGCACCACCACAGGTCTTATCAATTGTGCATGGTTTATTTGAGCCTATCCCATTATAATTTTGGATTAAATAATTTGCTGTGCATGTTATACATTGTGCTTTGAAAGTAAAATGAAATAGAGTTGTTAAAAAATCCCCCCCCCCCCCCCAAAAGCAGCTTTAGTTACTCAGGACATGGTAATGCAAAAAGCTATCTACTGTTTATATATTTAACTCTATATATTTCCTCTGTATGTTCCAAGGATCGTGTCCAAAAAAGTTTTCCTCATCCAATTGATAAATGGGCAATAGCTGATGCGCAATCTGCCATTGAAAAGAGGAAGCGAAGAAATCCGTTATTTCTTCCAGTAGAAAAAATTCATCCACTCTTAAAGGTAAGTAATATGAACACAATATATAAAATTCAATAGTTTGTTTTTCAAATAACCAATAATATTTTGAAAGAGAAACTAATTTCTTAAAACTTCCAAATAGAATTTATTTTCCAATCCATCTAAATCGGTTTAAACAATCTGTCACTCTTAATAAAGATTGCAATTAGATATCTGCATATTTTAACTGGCATTAGTAGCCAGTAAAAAGTTTGACGGTCAGTGTGCTACTTCTCCCGTTACTCTGATGAGGATTAGATGATGAAGAACTTGCAGGTGCTTCAGCAAAGCAAAGACCAGGCATTATCCCTGCCCTTCTCTTTAGGTTGAGAAAAGGATTTCTTCCTTGTTATGTGTGTCTGTGACACATGAGACTTGGAGACTTGGAACACTTAAACTTGCCATAGCTCTGGAGAAAGGTTGAAGGTTACAATTTTCATAACATCATAGAATTGGAAGTGATCTCAGAGATTATGTAGTCTAATCATCTGTTTCATGGAGGGTCTATTAAAATATTTTGGATAGATGGCTATCTATCCTTTGTTTAAATACTGCCAGTGAAGGGGAAATGATGCAGCCTTCATGGTGTTCTACTGGTTGACAGTTCTGTGATACTTCTCTAAAAGAGGTGAAATTATAAACCTGCCTCTGTTCCAAGGCATGGTGTTAATGTAGCAGTGATCTATTGGTCAATTCCCCATAATATCCTTATTCCATACTGTCAGCATCATTTCTAGTTCTAGTTGCCTTAATTTGGGCTGTATTTTAGTTATTCTGGAAGAAAAGCTTATTCTTTTTTGTCTGTTAATTCTAGTAAGCAATTTTTATTATCCACATGCAGAAATCTGTTAATTTATGACTGTAACCTTTAGATGTTATTTCAGCCTGTTTTAACTTGCAATACAATTGTTTTTGAACAAAAAAATAAAAAAAGATACTTTTTAACTCAAAAAATAAAGATGTTTCTAAGATCTCAGGAGATGTAAGTTCAAATAAAGTTTGAAACTCGTACTTCAAAAATTCTAAATTTGTCTACTGGTAACTGGTAAACTAATAATTAAGCTGATCAGGAAGTGTTTTAGGAATTTTATGAACAAAGAATTGACAGAATACTTGTTTTCTTATACACATAGTTATGCAAATACTAATTATTGAATGAATGTTAAGCTCCAAAGACCTACACAAGGGTCCTCTTTGTAAACTTCAATTCAGCATTCAATACCATCATTCCAGACATTATTCTAACTAAACTAAACCAGCTAGCGGTATCTGAACACACTTGTAAGTGGATCGTAAGCTTCCTAACAGACAGGAAGCAGCAGGTGAAACTAAGCAGAATCACATCAGATACCTGTACAATTAGCACACACACACACACCCAAGGCTGTGTGCTCTCTCCACTTCTCTCTCTGTACAATGACTGCATCTCAAACAATCCATCTGTTAAACTATTGAAGTTTGCAGATGATACAGCAGTGATTGGTCTCATTCGAGACAATGATGAATCTGCATATAGACGGGAGATTGAACAACTACCTTTGTAGTGCGACCGGAACAATCTGGAACAGGACACACTCAAAACTGTAGAAAAGGTAGTAGACTTTAGGAGAAACCCTCCCATATTATTACCTCTTACAATATTAGACAACACAGTATCAACTGTAGAGACCTTCAAATTTCTAGGTTCTATCATATCTAAAGACCTAAAATGGACACCTAACATAAAAACGTCATCAAAAAAGCACAACAAAGAATGTTCTTTCTGCACCAACTCAGAAAGCTCAAACTGCCCAAAGAGCTGCTGATTCAGTTCTACAGTGGAATTACTGAGTCTGCACCTCTATAACTGACTGGTTTGGTTCTGCAACCCAACAGGACATACACAGACTTCAGAGGATAATTAGAACTGCAGAAAAAAAACAATTACTACCAACCTGCCTTCCACTGAGAACCTGTATACTGCATGAGTCAAAAAGAGGGCTGTGAAAATATTTACTCCTGGATATTTACTCCCTCACATCCTGGACATAAATTGTTTCAACTCCTACCTTCAAAATGAAGCTATAGAGGACTGCACACCAGAACAACTAGACACAAGAACAGGTTTTTCCCGAACACCATCACTCTGCTAAACAAATAATTCCCTCAACATTGTCAAACTACTTACTAAGTCTGCATTACTATTACTATTAATCTTCTCATCGTTCTTTTTTTTTTTTTTTAATAAAGTTTTATTTGGGTTTTCACACACACAAAATACAAATAAAACATCTTTTTTGAAAATAGCATGATCCCGGGTTGAACTTCTTTATACAGACACAAACTCAATTCATGCTCATTTTTGTCTTCTATTCCATATCTTATACTATTCTACATTTTCTATAGTTTTTCCTCTCTTTTAATTTTCTCAATTTTATTTTGATTATCTCATCTCAATTCAAATCATTATATTTATACTTTTGTCTGTTCTGTTTCAATTTCATATTATCTTTTCTCATTAAACAAATTTTCTCCTGTAGTTACTAATTGGACTATGACACCTTTCTATCTCTTAATTATATCCATTCAACTCTTATTTAAATTTCAATATATACTTTAAGGTTATGGCCTAATATAATACATAATACATAACTTCCAATCGAATTCTGCTTGGTACATTCTTATAATACACACTATATTCTTTTTTTAAAAAAAGAATTATAAATATATGTAATTATAAACCCTCATTCCATTCCAATTCAGTTCTATCATTAATAATCATTAATGTCTTAATATCTTTAACATTTCTTTTCAATTAAATATCATACTTCCTTAAAGACACATATAATCTCCATAATTAATTTTTCCTTTATTTCTCTTCATATATGTTTTATAAATCATTAAATATTCATTTTGTTACATTTATTTATTGACAAACATTCCACTAAGTTACGATAGTTATTTTATCAAACATTTTAATCATACATTGTTTCATATTTTCTGGAATTATTTCTATTTCTAATATAACAATACTATCTTATGTACCTTTGCAGAATCCCTTTTTCCATTAGATTTTCACCCATTATCTCTAAATAGGCCCTGTTTCTCTATATTTTGTTTCTATCCTTTATAACTTCTTTTCCTTTCTTTCTTCCCTCTCATCTTCTCCCTCCCCTTTTTACCCCCTTGTCTCTCTAGTTCTAATTCTCTCTTCTGCATTTCCCTCTTCTGTTGCTTTCTGATTTTATACTTATTTTTCACTCTTTTTTTTTTTTTTTTGGAGTTGTTTTTCCCAATCTTAAACTTTCCATTCTCTTTCTCCCCTTTCCTTCCCCCCCCCCACCTAAGATTACTTGTTCATTAAAGATGGCTTCTTCTTTGTCACAATCTTCTTGTTCTGCAGGCATTTCTTGTTGTTTCTCATAGTTCCAAATATCCATTTCTAAAAACTGAAATACGAAGCCAAAAGAACCTCTCCTTTCTTGTGCATCTTCTTCATACTTTTTAAGTTCCATTTTCAGTTCTTCCAAAAGTGGAGCCATTTTAAACAGTTTTAAACAATCACCCGATTGATTTTAGTCATTCAAATGCAATAACCAAGAATTCAGAGATCACCAAGTAATCCAAATAGTCCCAAGCTGTTTCTTCTTATTTCTTTTTTCACTTTCTCTACCTGGGGTTTTACTATTTTGTTGCGATGTTTCAGTTAAGATGTATCTTTTGGAAGTCTTGTTGAGATTTTGCTGTAAGTTCTTTTTACTTCCAGGCAGTCTCCTCCCTTCCAGATCCTGCCCTTTTATTCTTTTTCTCTCCTTTCCTGTTTTCAAAAGCTTTTAATTATCCAGAAATCTTCATTATCCCTTTGACTTTTTTATTTTCAGCATTAAATGCCTATTGATATCAAAGTGGATTTTTTTCCAATTTCTTGCTTAAGTCTCTTAGCTGTCAGTATAGGAAGAGGAGAAAAAAAACCCAATCCTTTCCCTTTTCTCTCTCTTTTGCTGCTTAGAAATCTTCTTAGGGAACAATACTGTTGGGGTTTTTTTAAGTTTCAATTCCAGGGTATCTTATTTGTTGCTTTTGCTGTTTGACCCGGTCAACCAAAACTTTCTCTTATCTTCCTCCTGCACATTCTTTTCCGGTCGAGTTCTTCTTTGTGGTAGCCATTTCTGACCACCGCTACAACCGCCTTTGGGAAAGGGAGTAATAGCTAGCTGGGGAGGAGAGATGCGGCTCTCCTCAACCCTGCAGGCAGTCTCCCCCTTCTTCACCACCTCTACGGGGTGGCTTTGCCCCGAAACCAGCCGGCTCGGGGCACTCCAGCGGCGAGCACGGATCAAAACCACAGAGACGCGGTTCGGTCTGTCGCCGAAGAAGTTCAAATCGGAAGTCCCAATCTTCTCATCGTTCTTATCACACGTTTATGACTGTAACTTTGTTGCTTGTACTCTTATGATTTATATTGATCATTTCCTAGTATGATTTGATTGCTTACTTGTACCCTATGGCTATCATTAAGTATTGTACCTTATGATTCTTGACGAATGTATCTTTTCTTTTTATGTACACTGAGATCATATGCACCAAAGACAAATTCCTTGTGTGTCCAATCACATTTGTCCAATTCTTTGGTGAATAAAGAATTCTATTCTATTCTAAATCCCACAAAATTTCTAAGAATCATTTAGGAGATTATTTTAATTGTGAGAACACTATACAATGATGCAATTGCAATGTAACAAAAAGGGTATTTCTTAGAAGAACAGAACTCACAGGCCATTCAATTGCAGCTTCCAGAAGTATTGTACCTAGACCACACATAGGATCCAATACAAATGCTCCAGCCTGAAAAGAGAGGGAGAAACCAATTTAATACAATCTGTAAGTTATAGGTAATTGCTCCTTGGTTTGAAAAAATGTACAGTATATACTATAAATAAAGCCAGCAAAGTTAGATTTGATCGTTAATACTTTTCTCCATCTCCACAGCACAGAGTATTTCTCTTCCTTTTCATACATCTCAATAATCCTGATAACAATTTTATAGTAATTATCCCTATATACACCATGGAGATTAAAACCAAGAGACAATAGACAATTTAATTTGATTTGAACTGATTTTGCATATTTATTGATTTGATTTTGCATATTTATTGAGAAATTAAGCCTCACTGAATTTAAGGAAATTGCAAACTATGCAGCTCTCACCTACTTTAAATGCTTCAAATGCTCCTATAAAATTCCCATAATAGTTGCTTAGTAATCAGAATGGTTATTTTGCTCATTACCTTGATTTCAGCAAGCGATGTCATAGCCCAAGCAATGGTAGATCGCAATCCAGCAGTTTTAATATATGCCCGACTTGCCAGGGGAAGTCTGCAAATAATAGACATATTTAGTTAAATAAAAATAAGAACATTCAATGCATATGTAGAATTCTAACATGTGTCAATAATGACATGCTTCTCTTCAGGATTATTTCCTTTCATTCATATCTTTTTCCCAATATACCACATTCTATATCTCTAAATTTCCAACACTGTCAATTAGAATTATATGGAAAGTGAGCACACACAATCTATATTTGCACTGTTTTGATTATTATTACCTTTATTGTCAGAGTGCAACATGTGTACAATGAGATTGGCTGTTTGAATATTTGAATATTTCTTTGCGGGGGAGGGGCTTCTCCTTTTAAAAAATTTATTTCTGCAAATTTTGACATTCTCCTAAGGCTGCTTTTACCTCCTTTTTACCTCCATAAGTACTAGTTTTGGAAATATGTAAGATTTTTTTCACATTCCAAATAGTTAGAATTTGATTGACCAAAATAGATACTGTGCATACACAAGGAAGGGTGGGGGACCTTTAAAATGGATAAAAAAGGCAGGTAAAGAATAGCCACTGCTCACATATAAGACAGCTGATCTATGTGAAAATGTTAAACTACAATTAATTAGTAAATTAAATTATTTTCAATTTCATCTTAAATGTATTTGGCCATAATTTTTTCATTAAAACTCACAAGGATATTATTTTGATGCTAAAAATTAAGATAACAATATTACTAAATATAAGTGATAAGTATTCACAGCAATAATCATATTACTATGCTATTTTATATTCATCACTGCTTTTTTCACATATTGACAATTGTCCTCACTTCTACCAATCTATATGCTTAAAGGTCAATGAATAAAACATCACATACCCTAGGGAAATATAAATGTACAAATGTTTCAAGTACCATGTTCCAAATTATTTATACTTTTATATGACAGAGAATGCTAAAGGTTTACCATTTTAAACATTTAATTATTGCAATAAATTATTACTTATCAATTTATTTCAAGGTCAACAATATGAGAACAAAAACTATTCCATCCAATTTTTTTGGAGGAGCATGTTTTCTATTAGAAAAGTAAATATTTATCGAGAAGTAAGGAATAATAATTTATAATGTCATCGACCTGAAAAGAGGGATCCCAATCACAGAATAAACATCATTTAGATGCACAAAAATCTGTAAGAGAATGAAAATTTACAATATTTACTTGCAAATCGACAAAGTAATAGATGATATCTCAGTCACCTTCTTAAGGATGTATTTATTTATTCTAAAAAGCAATCTCATCCTTAAATGTATGTAAGATATCTATCTGAAGTATACTAAAGGGGTACTGTATAAGACATAGTACAAAATTGATTCTTCTGCTTTTCCATCAGGGCAAACACAAATGATAGAAGAAAAAAAAAATGTACAAAACCCTAACTTAATACTGGCCAAATATTTTCAGCTAAAGTGGCATAAACTTTCTACTAGTGATATTGTAAACCATTTACAAATCTTGTTGCACATGCAGGATATCCTCCACCAGAATTCAGGAGAGTGAAAGTAAGTTCAATGAAAATGATAGAGCCTACAGGAAATGTGGAAGCATTACCTGGATTTTATCTTTAAGGTTTGCCACTTTTCAAATTCTATCTATATCCCTTATTTTTATAACACTGTTTACTTTGTGTCTTTTATCTGTTTTTAGATTTCTGTAATTTTTTTCAGATTTCAGTCATGATTAAGTTCAAAGGTTCTGGCAGACAACTTGCTCCACTCTGACTGTTGTCTTTTAATAAGTTCACAATGAAACAGTACAACAATACCTCAGTCTCTTAAGCCAGTTGGAAGTCATTTTCTGTTTTCACAGGAACTTACAGAAGACAAAATATAAGGAAGCTAAATTCTACAAGCGTAACATATTTCATTTTTATTAACAAGAATACACATTAAAAATATCCTCCAGTCATATTTCAGAGATCATTTGATATCTGAAGAAGGCAAAGCCCAAAAGTTTCCAACAATTCAACTTAAGTTGGATTATTACCTCTAAATCGGGATTTCTAAGATCTGCTTTCCATCCAAAATTTTTCATAAGAGCTATTCCAATAATTTTCCCCAGTTCCTGAAAAAATAATCACAAATCAGACATGAGAATTATTTGGGTAGGTTGCATATTATATAGATTCTTAGAATAGAAAACAGCAAACAAAACATGCTGAATATTATAGAATCCATAAGACATATTTTACATCCCTACCTTATGTATGTTTACTGAAATCAGGCCATACAAGTTCAAATATGCTTATTTTAGTCTGTCTTGTTATGCAATGGCTTGAAAAAAGCTTCAAGAACAGAGTAAAACATCTAGCAAATTATTTTTATTGTATGCATGTATATGCATGCACATTACAACACACCCACACACGGTAAGGAAACTAAGCTTTCAAAATGACAGTACTAAAATTTAATTTGTCCTCCATCTCCTTGACAATTAAGAGGAATTCCAAGACAGCATAGAAGAGTGAAGTTACAACTGCTTAGCTTTAACAAAATATTCAAATTCGTTTCCCCACCTTCAAACAGTGCTATTTTTTTCTATGTTGATGTCACTCACTAAATGTAATTATGGAATTACGCATAAAGAGTAAATTAAATATCCTTTCTGACAGTTCCAGAATAATCTGGACAGACAGTGGAATTATTAAGAAAATGTACTGTTTTGCTAGCCATTTTCAAATGGATGTACAAGTAGTCCTCATTTACCGGCCTCTTGTTCAGCTACTTTTGAAGTTATCACAGCACTAAAAAGAGAGATTTAAAACTGGTCCTCAAAGTTGTGGCCATTGCAGTATCCCCTTGGTCATATGATCCTGATTCGGTAGCTTGTCAACCATTATACATTTACAAGTATTGCAGCATCCCATGATTATCATTTGCATTCTTCAGTTAGCTTCAAGACAAGTAGTCAATGGGAAAGCCAGCAGGAAGTTACAAGTGACAGTCATGTTTCACTATATGACTGCGTCATTTGGTGACAGAGCTGCTGGTCCTAATTGTGGTTGGTAAGGTGGTTTTATTTTTTTTAATGTTATTTTGAATGTAATGTACTTTTTCATGCAATAGAATATGAAAAAAAATCCCTGTAAACTGTATGTACAATGAGTTGGCATTGTGCAGTTGAATATACTCCTAAACACAATAGTAGCTGTAAGACTTGCCACAGATATAATTGCAGAGAGGAAATTAACATTGAGAATTAGCATGTTTAAAGAGAATAAAATCTGGAAAATACAGCACATCATGGATACTTTTTGTGTCATGCCCCTGTTGGAGTCTGACTCTGGGGGAGTGATGAAATAGCTGACAGGGAGTGAAAGTGTGGCTCTGGTGGTTGTGAAGGAAACTGCAGAAGGGCACAGGCCAGATGGGCATTCAGAGGAAGACCCAGGCCCATCCCCTCTTCATCCTAGGGCAGGCAGGGAGGAGTGGATAAGGGAGAAACTTGAGTGGTGTGGTGGGAGGAAGGGGCCCTGATTCCCTTCATGGGCTGCAGCTGGGAGGACTGGTTAAAAGGACAAACTGCGCATGGCAAAGTTGCTGGAAGCAAAGCGTGCATTCTTGTCGGAACTTATCTGTGTTTTGGCTTCCTCCCAACTGTGGT